CTATTGAATCCATGGATTCAATAGAATACATAGATTAATTCAGAATAAGAGAATGGGAAAATAGTCTGGTAATGATGAGCTATTAACATTTGATGTGTGCGTGTGTGTGTGTGTGTGTGTGTGTTGTTTTGATTTTTTAATGAGTAATATGATGAGAAGAATATTACTGAAAACATCATTTCAATTATAGTGTACACGATGTCTTGGGGAGGGTTGTCACTATAGCTGAGACCAATGGTGACAGAAATAATACAGATTAAAGAACCAAGAGGATTCATCTTGAGTGGTAGTGATGGGAATGAGAAATCTAAGATACATTTGTAGGATATTGAAGAGAAAAAATGAAAAAGAACTGGTAAATATTAGGATGAAAGATGAGGCCATTCAAAGAATATTTTGAAGCACTGGGAATTTGTTAAAAATGACAATACAGTGAAAAGAAATTGAATTGTCGGTTCTCCAGGGATATCCAGAGTCACCCAGTTCGGGGAGAAGAATAAGGCCTTAGTAGAAAGAGATATACTAATTGTAAAGATTAGCTGATAATGCCAGTAAAATGTCCAATAGTCAGTTACAAGGGTGTGACTATAGTTTGTGCTGACTATGGGCCTCTTGAAGACTGAGACTCTTTGCTCTTCTTCTCTGAATCTCCCAGAATCCAGTACAGGGCCAGACACATAGTCTAACCCTCAGTAAACGTGGCCCAGCTGGCTGATGAACTGCACAGTTTCGGGAACCAGCTTCACAAAGAAAAATAATTAAATTGGGAGTGTGGACAAATATCACCTTGGAGGGTAGGACACAAAGAGAGGAACTAAGAGGACAGAGAGAGGAATAAAGGAATAAACATGTTGAAGGAACTGGAAGGAAAAAAAGAAACCAAAAACAGAGACAGTGCAGGTGGGGGAATTAAACTGAGAGAGAGAGGAAAGGAAGGGAAGGGAAGGGAAGGGAAGGGGAGGGGAGGGGAGGGGAGGGGAGAGGTAAGGGGAAGGGGAGAGAAAAGCAAGAATAGCATGGGAGGAGAGGAGCCTGGGAAGAAGAGATGCTACTTATTTACAATTAGAATGCATATGTATAAATATATATATTTATATATGCACTCAAATAGAGAATGCATGGATGCAAAAATTATAAAGTCACATTTAGTGAGCAAAAATGAAAATCGTTAAAATGTTTCCTTAATAACATAAAGTAAATAAATTAATAGCTCCTGTCATATTGATTCATCCATTGCATGTGGGCACTCAATAAATGTTAATTGAATTAAATTAATAACATTTGCTCAATGGCAATAAAAAATTAATTAACTGCCTGTCTTTTCTGTTACTTAAGTTTATGCCCATTGGTTCTGCAATTACTTCTAGCCCAAACATGAATTTTCTATTTCACTGACTTAATATACACTTAAATTTTTTTCCCTTAGAAATAGAGTTGAGCTTCTAATTTTTGTCCTAATTTGGGTGTTTTTTTTTTCTGTTAAAAAATTATTTTCTCTAAGTTAATGTCAAGAACTATGTATAACATACCAAATATAGTTTCACGAGTTCCTTATTTAATTCCAAAATCGTTTTTTTTTTTTTCTGCAGGAGATGTGATACCACTTTTTATATGTTTCTCCTTTTAGCCTATGCTACTTTATAATACTTGGGATACAATGTCAAATAACACGGCAAGAGAGGAATCCGGGGAAATTTATTGTTAGCTTTCCATCTATAAAAGATGGAAGATGTCAGTAACATTCACCCAAAAATTGTGACTCACTTCAGATGTCAGAATTCTGGGTTGAACAGACTGGGGTCTGAAATGTATGTATGTCAGATGATTTTCTAATGAGCAACAGATAGTTCCCACTGGGGAATAAAAAAAAAATAAAAATATAAACAGAGATAGAGAATTAAAATAACTTTATGAATGGCAGTTTAACTTCACCACAAAATTCTCTCAGTACAAACCCAGTGGCTCCAAATGGTTGCTTAATGTAGCACACCACTTAGATTCAAAATGCTATACTTAAAATTGTCGCAAAATTAAAAAGAGAATCATATACCACTTGGCTGTATACAGTATTCTCCGCATGTTCTTACATTCCAGTAACCTCTATCCAACATTTTTTTTGTTCCTGAATTACTTTGTGCAAAAGCAATTTAAATTACATGCAGCCTGACTACGTGTGATAATTTGAACTGATTGTTAATTAATTCCGTAAGCAAACAGCTGCCGCAATCTCTATACTCATCAAGGTTTCGTTATCTACCAGCTTTTTCCGAGCTGCTCTTTAATGTACAGTGTACAGCAGCTGTAACCAAAGATGCAGAATTCCCTGAGCGTGCAAGAAGGTAGTCTTGCTTTGCAGAGCTCAGGGAGAGAGGCAACAGGAACTCTAAGTAACCCGCGAGGCTAGATTTTGGGTGGGTGACACATGGTGTACGGGATTTCGGGCTCAGAGGGGTTTGCCGATGGGCGGTCTCTGCAGCTAGGAAGCAGAGATAAAAGCTAAGAACAAATCAGAGATGATGCTGCATGCCACACAGACAAGGATGAGAGCTGAGTTTTGGGAATACAATGGGGCCTGGGTGCAAATCTTAGTCCTGTCATTTGCTAATGAGGACTACTGGGACAACTTATCTAAATAAACTATCTAAGCTTTGGTTACACTCCCTCATCTGTGAACAGGGGACACCCGCCACTCCCCTCTGTTCAGGGACGTTGACAATATCTGCCTCCCGGAGTGTTTGTGATGCTTCGGTTAAATAAGATTTGTAAGCACTAGTCACCTCTGGAGCTGATAGGAAAGGCATGCCATGGAGTATGTGGTTGTGTGTATAAAACAGTGGTTTGGATTTCCACCTAGGTGACTGCCCCAGAGGGGAAATTTGGCAATATCTGCGCACAGTTTTGTTTGCCACAGCCTAGGATAATGGGTACTACTGGCATCTCATAGGTATAGAACACAAGACACTGTTAGACATCCTACGATCTCCCCATGGCAAAGAATGATCTGTCTCCAAACATCATTACAGCATAATGAACAGCTATCTGTAATATTAGCTGATTGCACAGCACTTTGATATCCCCCCAAAATAAACTATTATTTTGATATCATTATCATTACAACATTAATTTGCTGACTCTCTCTGGGGTTAGAGGAAGTCTAGAGTTTCCCAATCGGTTGAGCTAATTCCATCTATTCATGATTACGTTAATTGCTATTAATAAATGATCAATGTTTTCATGATCCGTAACTTCTACCAGTCCAGTTTAAAATGAATCAAACCACAAGCAAGAGATTTAAAGCCAGCAACATAAGGGCTAGGGAATAAAAAGCAAACCTGGTTGAAAGCCAAGGCTGTTTGGAGGCTGAGAGAGAAACAAGACAATGGCATGGGCTGAACGAACGGACACTTCCCATGCCATGCAGGAGCCTTTGAAGGTTCATGTAGGGAGCTTCAGAAATCCCCCGGGGGCTGTGAGCTAATCTGCCAAGGGGTGGGAGGGCTTGCCTGAGCTTGAAAAAATTCTTAAGTTTTAAAAGATTTCCCAGGTTATTTTACTCTTTAGACAAGTCTCTGGGAACCACTGACTGAGGACGCAGGACCCAGTAGAGATTTCCATCTGCCTGAAACAAAGCAACTTTGGAAAAGGTGAATGGATGCTGGGAAGAATGTATCCTTGCACTGAGCGATTGTAAGCATGGTAAAAGCCAGGTTGGGGAGTTGTATTATTTACTCCAGTCACTCCATGAGCATTATTGGATCAAACATGCATTGGGCTAGCCACAAGAATGCAAGGCTCCGGAATGCAACTTCACCATCTCCCAGGAGGGCCACCAAATAACCCGGGCTGCTGTTGGTTTAGGGTTTAATGTGTCCCCAGGAACCAGCTGGTCTGCATGTTTGAGAGTATCTTCTATTACCTCTTCTCTTGATCTTAGGATTCTGGGCAATGGGTATATAAGTAAGTTACGACTGGTTATGACCCAGACTCTAACATGATTTCATCTTCCATTGCTCTGTCATACACTCTTCAATATTGTGATTTAGCTATATCTTTGCTAACTCCTTTGATGCTTGTGGAAGTTGGGGACCATGCTGGTCCTAGGTGCCACTATATCCCCCATGCCCAGCCCAGTGTTTCTTATATAACAGACCCACATATGATTATGGAAGAATGAATGAATGAAAGAATGAATGACTGAATGAATGGATGAATAAATGAATGAATATGGGAGCTCTAAAATACATGAAGCACCTAGGCCTTCTGGTCTTTTCTATGCCTCTCCCAACCAGAATCTCAAGGGTCAAGGATTTTGCCAAAGGTTCCCTTCCAGGTGGTTATATGGAAATAAAATATACTCCAAAAAGCACACCCTCAAAAGCCATATGAACAGTCACCTGAATAGGAACCTAACAAATGCTAAGGCAGGGGAGGGGTTGGCAACTGAGAATCTCGGAGGGTAGAAACAGGTATGAGCTGATAGATGGTTCATTTATAACCACTTGTCTTATACAGAGGAGGAAACTGAGGTTTGTAGATCCAAAGAAATAAAAACCACGTGATCGCGATCACACACATTATTGAGCAGCACTGTCCATCCAGCATTTAAGACCCTTTTACTGCTTCTGGGATCCAGAAAACACTTGGACCAAAAGCTGACAACAAACTATGAACTTTTGTTGATCCAAGTGAATGAATTCTTTGATTCTCTCCACCCATGACTAAAAAAACAAACAAACAAAAAACAAAAAACAGTAGAAATAAGTGTTACAAATGTCTGTGATAGGGAAACTTGTACTGTGTGTAAAATTTTATGATTCTTGCCCTTTTCTATTCTTAAATATTTATTCAAAATGGTTCCATTCAATGATGCTTCAATCTCTTAAGACCTTATTCTCACAAAAGTCTTGAGTGTGAAACTTTCTGCAAATGTCCATTCTGAGATCACTAGGTTATGTCAACTATAGTGGGTTTGTGTATGTGTGTTTTCTTTTTTCATCTAGATATGCAACTCACAAATGAAAAGCATGCAGATGAGAAACCCATTAATGCTATCATTATAAATTCAGTATCTGAATTCAATATCACAGATGGACCAGCCAAGGAAACCCCCAGTGAGAAAAAACTGTCAGAATCCAGCACATCACTGTCCTCCCTTGAAGAATGCCAAACGAAATTTTCCTACCTCCAAACTGATACTTCAGTTCATCAGAGAGACACTGATGGTATGTTTCTCCGAATCAACCCATCTCTAAATAAAGCTCCCCAACCCCCAGCCCCTGTAAAATCATCACATATGCTGTTAGAAAAAAAAAAAAAGAGCCTTTATGAATATTAAACAGGAAGACTTCGATTTGAAAACCCTGGTGAATGACACATGTCAAGGTCACTCTGCAATTATGAGGTGCTTGGCAGATTGTTTGCTCTCAAAGCTGGAAATCAGAGGCAAAGTGTTTTAAATAGCTGCAGTGAGATATAATCATGCTTGCTATGGAGCTGGGAAGGGGATAAAGAAGAATGGTAAAGTTTTCTCAAATCTGAGACCATTTCAGCCCATGATGCTGGGCTGAGAGGAGTAGAAGGCAGAGTAGAATGGTATTAAAATGCTGGAAATGTATAGATGTGGACTATAAAAGATATCACGATGCTTACCTCAGCAACCAGTGTTCATTCCTCTAGGTGATATCACTTCCTGGGCATTCTGGTCAGTGCCAACCTACATCCAACTATCCATGCATATGACTATAAAAGGCACATTCCTTTTGCAAATCCAGTTTCAAATTGATATGGTCCTAAATGGTCATCGCAGTCAAGTTCAAAGTCATGCACACCACACCAAGATATATGTAATTTAAATCAGGTTGACTTTATAATGCCCTTTACAGGAGACACAAACCGTTCAAGAATTTTGTAGCGTTCCATATCCTCATTTGCACTTAAAGAAAGCTTGCAGTTTCTCGAAGGAAAATATAAGAGGGTATAGTTTCTAGTCTATATTTAAATTAATATTTACTTTTTGAAAATAAGGAAAAAATAAATAAATGGGCTTTGTGTAACAGGAGCTGTGGAATCACATCCGTTTAATTCCTGGCTCTGAAATTTATTAACCATATAAACCTGGATAAGTTTTTTACCATCTCTGAATCTCAGTCTTTCAGCTATATGATGGAGCGAGGGTGTTTTGAAGACCAAATGAAATAATGTGTATAAAGGATCCAATAATGGACCTGGCACATAATAGATATTAGATTTTTGCTTTTGTTATGGTTATGGTTTCAAAAAGCAAGGGGAGAAATTTCTAACATGTGTTCCTTATGGTCTTGTAACAAACACTGTCATGGCTGCTTTAGACCAGAGGCTACAGAAACAATTGATTGCAGGTGCCAGGAGATGATATGAATAATGAGTTAGACTGGCAGTGAGCAACAGGGATTGGTGAGGACTGGGGCAAAGTGAAGCACACTGCAGCTACTCAGCTCCAGCTAATTGTTGCCAGAAGGAAACAGAGGTTCAGACTTGTCAGCTACAGAGTGTCATGTGAAATTGCCAAATTTTTTGAGTGTTGGCAATACTTTGATTTCTTTTATGAAGCCCCAGACACTCCCAACAACACACAGCTTGGGGATAACTTTGGCCGGTGGACTGTCAGGTTACAACCTCAAATTCAAGATGATGCCCATGTTTCTGGCTTTGCTGGAGTTTGATGCCAATCAAGAAAATGGGCGATACAGGACAGTTCTCTGAGACACCAGAAAGCACTCTGACCCTAGAGCATTTTGTCAGATTGTCTCAGGGATGCAAGTAACAGATCTTGGTTGTCATGACCCCTGAATTAGGAATTGTCATGGTACACACATCCACACAGTACAACACAGTGTCTCCCAGAACCACTCTGATTTGTCCTAGCAGGGATTCTGGGAGAAGGAGAAGGGCTGGTGCAGCTAACATGACACCCGAACCCTTGTATTCTCAGGAAAGGCCCAAAGGACCACTCCATTAAGATGGCAACTGATACTCAGGGTCTCATGCAGGAAATTCATGACTTACTGGTTTTTTGAGGCGGTTTTTTTGGTTATTTGGTTTTTTGTTTTCAAAAGATCAAAGGAGATTCACAAGGACAGCTGACTTAGTCTGTTTTTCTTAAGCCTTGCCTGAGAGGCTGTCATAACCCAGGAAATCATGATTTTAGGCTGACAACACAGGTAAAAACCCACCATCCCCTTCCCACATGGTGAAAAAAATCCCCCCATTGAGTTAAGAGTTTGGGATACCTGGATCAAAAAGAGAGCAAAACATCCAAACGAAGGCCCACGAGTGTGTCTAAGAAGCTCTCATTATCTTAAACAGCAAACATCAAGGATCTCAAGAGTTAAGTCAGAGAATTTTTGTAGTAATTAATTTAAGGATGCAGAAATTGAGAGCTGGGGTCATTGTTCGTACTGAGATAAATACAGAAATATCTTTCAGGAACAGCAGGGGAAACAGAAGGGAAAAGAGAAGATTGCATCCACTTTCATGTAGTTTGTGGTTAATTTATTTTCAAATGTATAAATGAGTGCATAGGAATGGATGCTTAATTGCTAATATCTATTATTTATATACATTGCCCCACTTAAAACAGAATGGAAAAGCCTCACACATGCAGATTTTGTAAAATGTGTTACATCCATTAGCACAGTTCATGGTGTGTGCTCTGATGGGAATTTAAAAGGATCTTTACTGCATATCACACACTATGTGCTGCAACATTACTTTATTAGTAAATTGTGGCTCATCCTGTGTGGTCCCTTTCCCGAATAAAATGGAAAAAGTCCAGAGCACTCTCTGCGTCTCTGTTTCTGTTGCTCCTTTCTGATTGCACAGGCAACCCTGCGGGTAATAAAAGCAGGAATACACACAGTGCTCGAAAACAGGAGCCTTAAAAAGAAGCCTGAGAATATACCTAATTGATGTATAATTTTGAATTTGAGACGTCTCATCCAGGTGGAAGAGGAAAATCATAAATACAAGATACCTCAAAAGAATAGTCTTAATTACACCATGGACTACTGAATAAAATGATTACATTTTCTACACTGTAAATTTCATACAATTAGATGCAGTAGTGTCACCTTATAAAATGTTTCAATTTTATAATTATTTCAGTTCATTTGCTCAGAAAAAAACATAAGCACAAATTTACTAAGTATCACCCAAATCTAGTCAGCCTTGTTCTAAAGAACTGACTTGAACGTTAGTTGTGCTTGTCTGAACTTAAATAGATCTTGACATATTTAAGTAGCTATTAAAATTGATAACATCAGGGATGATACCCCAGCTAGAGAAAGGCATTCAGTCACACTTTATTTATTCCTATTCTACATTACAGACTTAAAAAAAAATTAAAAAAAGAACTCAGTAGTGTTGAAGAAGTGGGAACCAATTTTTATACTTTATGACCAAAAACTTGGAGTAGTTCGTTGGAGTCACTGTGTCACAGAATCTCACGCTTCTGTTGAATCTGCTGGGACAGCACGTTAACCATGAACATATCAGGATACTGGGTTGGGGCCATGTTTATTTGCCTTTTTTGTTTGTTTGTTTTTTGTCTGGAGGGTTAGGGAGATTCTTGTTTCTCTGGAGCCACTTCTGGAGGAACCATATTCTTGCTATTTTGGGGAGTGATTCCCCAACGAGCAGGTGCTATGTTTCTGAAACTGAGGAAAGCTATGAGAACTCCAGTGGACAGCTAGATCTGCCTCTGTCCCTCTCTCCTCTTAATCCCAGGCATCACGGTGACAGGATCAAAGCCTGGGAGGGCAAGCCCAGAGAGTTCAGGACCGTGACCGTGAGGCTGACCTCAGGTACACTGGTGGAAGGTCTTTGCATCGCTACCTTTTCCACTATAATTAAACATGATCCTTTCTAATGAGACAGATTCTCCCTCTTAATTAGCCAATCCCCAGCTGCACATTTAGCACGGCTGGAGGCTGCATTCATCCTTCAGTATCATTCGAGTATCACTTAGCACATTACAGCCTCGATGTCCTAAATGTACCCTAGGGGTGTACAAAGGAAATGAAACAACCTAAGGGGAGGGGGGTTTTCATGGCTTCTTGCTCACAGTCAAGTACCACTTTTGGCTGCTTGGCCTGCAGGTCTTGGCTCGTCCTAGAACCTTCTCTGATCCAGTTTTAACAAGGCAAGAGGAGGGAAAGGGGGATGGGCACCACTCTGAGAGCAGGCCAGGATGCCAGGGGTGTCATTAAAGGAGCTTCAACATGCAGAGACCTCCTAACAAAGATATTAGGAGAGGTAAAAAGCCAAGTAAGGGAACAGTGAGGCCACCTAGACGTTAGCAACAAGGCTCTGCCACCTCTTCCCTTGTCCCCTCCAGGCCACTAGTAGAGGACTAGTCCTGGACTTCTCTCATGGGCCACTAGGAACTAACCATTAATAGGCAGACCACCAGCAAGTGGCATTAACAAGAGCTACAGAAAGAAGGATGTCCAGAAAGAGGTAAAATCAAGGGGAAGATACAGGTACTGACTGAGACACTTTCAAAGCAGAGAGCGAGGAGGAGAAAGACCCCTGGGATTCCCTTCTTCCCACCTTCGCATTTCCTGCCACTGCTTCTCACTGGCTGAAGCAAGGAGGAGGCCACTTGACAGAACTTGGAGAACAGATGTTAGCCTTCTCGGGATATCAGAGCAGAACAGGGAGAGAAAGGGTAGCAGGCCTTCCATGAGCCAGCCATATCCTACGCCATGTTGGATTGTGACAGAGAAGTGGGAGCCTTCTGAAGGGCAGGCCAGCTGCAGGGTTCAGAGCTCTGAAGGGGACAGTTTGACTCAAATCATGGCTCCTCTATTTCTGTGTTTCTTAAATTCCCTGAGCCACAGTTTCCTGGTCTGTAAAAGAACATGATAGTACTCAACTCAGGTTTATTTCAGGACCTATGTGAGGTACCTACCTACAAAGTGCCCAGGACTGTGCATTTGTTTCCAGTGTAGCACCGGCTAAGAGAGCACAGACTTTGGATCCGGAAGGACTGAGATCTGAACCTCTCTGCCCCCACCCCCAACCACCCTACAGTTGAAAGATTCAGGACAGTCAGGGACAATCCCTAAGTGTTAGTGCTTTCACCCACAAAATGAGGATGACTTTACTTATCTCCCATCATTCATTTATTCATTCATCCACTCAACAATAGACATAGCTTTCTTGTAACTCAGGTTCTAGTAGGGGGAGAATCTTTGTATTAATAAACTAATTAGTTTCATATCATTCCAATGGTCTCTACCATGAAGAAAAAACAGAATTCTCTGAGAGTTTCAGAAGGAAGATGTTTCAAGATAAAGACTCAGAGGCTGAGTAAGAATCAGGTCAAGCTGTGAGGGGGAAGTATATAACACAGGCCAAAGAGAGAGTATGGTCAAAGTCTCTCAGATGGGGCAGGTCAGGGTCTGATGCTGAATCAGTGTGACTACAGTTCAGTGAGCAAGGAGGACAGAAGGATGGGAAGCCAGAAAAATAGTCAGGAATCTATCACGAGACTCGCAGGCTATGGCAAGGATGTGAGACTTTAAGGGGAGAGTGAGCTCTTCCCACCTACAGTGAAAAACATCACAGGAGCTGATGAATTTGAACTGGGCTCCTGTAAAAGCCATGTGTTAGATAGGAGCCTAGTGATGTTGACCTGACAATGGCAGAGAGTGGCCAGAACTAAGGGGGCGGCCCTACAGGTGGGTAGAGTCTTCTGATTTTCATGTACCAACTTGAGCCAGGATGAGCAGAATTCAGCAAGGAGCCGGAGGGAGGATGGTGGTAGGACGGGGAAAAGGGAAATGACAAGAATGAGTCCCAGCTTTCTACTTATTTCATCTGAGTGTGCAGGAGTCATTCACAGGAGGAGGTCAGAAGAAGGACAGGTGTGTGGAATGGGGCAAGAGGGGAGATCTAGACGCAATTTGGCCTTGGTAAATGGGAGATGATTGAAGGAAGACATTGCCAAAAAGACACAAAGTAGGCAGAGGAAGCATAACATACTCTTTTGGATGGGCTGAGAGCAGGGGTGCTAATCATGGGCTATGGCTTTGGGTATCATGTTTATTAAACATGAAAGCCCCAAGAAATAGTGCAAAGGAAAACACACCTGTTCCGGAATAGGGGAAGCCCAACTCTCTTTTCAAACAGCTGCAAATTTCCCCCCACTTCTTAGGCTACTTTTGTGCAAACAAAAATTGTCCATATGCAAAATAGCTTTGCCTGGCTATGTAGAACTATGTAATATGCCTTTTAGGAAAAGTTTTCAATGCTCTTGAAAGTCTGGAAAAATCTGTTTTCAATTCACCAATGTTGCCATGTTTTTTTGGGCAAGAGGTCCTGCCTTATATAACCAAATAAAAAGGACTGACTTATACACAGAAAAGAAAAAAAAAATGAGCTCTTCTATTCTCAAATGCAAAGTAGAGAGGTAGAAGAAAACAAATGCCAGTTTGGCCAAAATACTAGACCAAACATGTGTGTGTGTGTGTGTGTGTGTGTGTGTGTGTGTGTAAATAAAATCTAGAGGGTACATCAGGAGTGGAGACCTCCAGAATCTGCCAGCTTGAGAAAACACTGGGAAGAGGAATTAAACCAAAAGATTACATGCTCTCAGGAAAGTATAAGTCCAATACCAAATAGGTATTTTATACTTTGATAGGAAACACCAGCTCCCACCCTAACTTGCCTGCAAACCAAATTTTCAACCTCACATCTCCATCTACAAAGGATGTGATCCCACTGGATCGTTTTTATATGATCATAGCCTGAGTCAGTCTCTTGAGTCTCCAGCCTGAAGGATATGGAGAATATTTTCTACTGAGAACTTCTTTGCCAGGGGCTGCAAGCATAGTCTTCTTGGCATTAGTAAAATTTGATGAGGTTTTCTGCTCCATATCTTTGACGACAAACACGCCCTCTTCAGAAACGCATACATGAAACGGAGTCTAGGTACTGTGCTAAGTAACTCCTGAATTTTTGTAGGTGGTTTGCACTGACTTATATGGGTGAGTTAGCCACATGCTAGAAACTGGCTCTAAGTGAATAAAAAAGGTACCCCGTCTGGCAAAGAGATGAGTACATACGCCCTAGGGGTATTATGGGATATGCTGCCTACCCCAGAAGTACTTAGTAATGGCCACAGCACCTGCAACAATATATGGCAATTAAAGTCCTCATAAAAGTCACAGTGAGGTTCTTTATCACCGTCTTATTGGGAAGAAAAAAAAAGGAGGCTGTGAGGCAGGGATGGAGGGTGGGGTGCAGGGCGGGATGGAGGCAGGATTTTTGTTTACCTATAAGCAAGGTCACTTTAGACCTTTATATAAGTATGTTAAAAGAAATCTTCAAAATATTTTTTCCCTTTTAGAGCAAGTTTCCATGTTCTCCCTCCTCTTACAGATTAACAAATAGCTGAATAACAAAAGTAAAAAGGTTTTCTGGAAAACACTGTTGGAAGTAAATGAACAGGGCTCTAAGAATACTCAGAACCCTTCAGCGGAGGACTCCAGGAGCAAAATCACTCCTGCAGGCTTGTGTATTCTCAGCCAACTGAAGTCTGAAAACCAAAAGTTATTAACATTAACATTCTTGGTGAAAGAATTATAAATCCTGATGAAAATCTAACTTTAATTGATTGATAAGCCCATCAGGAGGAGGAATTTTTCTCCAATTCATGCCAGATTGTTACTTTCAACCATCAATAATCTTCAGGATACTGACTTCAATTAATTACATGATGTCTCATGTAAACGCTTACCTACCCATTTATAAAATGCTCACGTTTTTGAGAACTTTGTGACTAAAAAAAAAAAGTTATAATTTTAACAAGAGAACTGCTACATCTTCTAACTAATTCCCTTTATGGAAACAAAAACTATAATAATCTATAACCCATCACAGCTGTTGGGCTAGAATTACCAATTACCTTCAATACCTTGGAGATACTTTTCAGATTTTCATGAGTCTGCATGGTAAATTTTTAAACCAATTTTCTTAAAGAGCATTGAGAAGATTTCTACTGTTTTAGGCATATGATGACACATTCCATTTAACATGAACATAAAATCAAGGCCTCACATTAACTGGAGCACAAAGGTCGCAGGGATTAAAAATAAAATACAACTAACATCAAAACTATAACTATTTAAAAATCATTTGTATTGGGTTTTGAAATGTGCTTTTTGCTTGCATGTAAAATATGGATGTGGCGGATTCCTGGGAAACCACACCATACAAATGACCAATCCTTGAGACAAGAAGCCAAAAGTTTGTACGGTCTCTCTCCTTGTCCCCAATCCTAATTGCTCCCAAAAGCTCTCTGCACTTGGGGAGGACCTGTTAGTTTTCAGACAGTTGCAAGGTTTCCAGATAGGCAGTGAATTGTGTGGTTTCCCAGCACCTCTGCAGGCAAAGTAAATAAAGGAGTTCAGAAGAGTGACAGCATTTTAAACAACCAGATTATGTGGAATCAATAGAAATGCTCAGGAAGTTAATAAAGCAATTACTTAAGCAGAGGGAGTCCTGCATGGGGGGTGGGGAAGCTTGAGAGAATAATGATGTACATTACCTCTAATATGGACAATTAAGAGTTGGCTATAAAGTCATCAAGTACACCACTGCACATGCCTGTCCTTCAGAGATGCCCCCGTATGGGCCACTATTCATTTTCTTCTTCTTCTTCTTCTTTAAACAGAGGAGTGTGCCTCCCTCATCCTCACCTGTCTGTTTTGCCAGTTTTGGGACTGTCTCCTGATGCTCCCGGATACATGTGAAACGGTGTGTACCAACCTGTGCTGCCCCTCTCACAGGTATCACCACACCTCGGATGAAAGCCACTCTCGGAACGATTGCAGTTGCAACTGTGACATGGACTGCAGCCTGTTTGAGTCTTGCCACGAGACCAGCGAGTGTCTGGAGCTGGCCATGGAGATTTCAGAAATCTGTTACCGCTAGCCCAATGCAATTAACCACATTCCTCCAGACCCTCTGGCCCCAAGGGGAAATTCCATGACAATAAGGCTGTGATTTCTATGTGCCGAAATGTAAGAACTATACATGTTTCTTGGATGCTATAGACCATTTTCTTCTGCACCTGCCTGACAAATCTAATACTGTCAACTCTATGGTCTCATGCCAAATTTCATAACCGCATGGCTCGCTGAAAAATAAGATCTTGATCACATGTGATGAACAAATCCTAAATACCTCTTAACTGCATTAGGTACAAGGTATTTCTTGACTGTAAAAGAGCATGCTAACCCACTCTGGGTTACTGTATTCATTGGCTTACGTCATGGATTCAACTTCATTCACAAATTCAGGACAAATTAGTGCATTCTTTTCGAATTGACATACATTAGCTCATCTTTGTAATGGACTCATGCATAAACATTATGCATTGTTGGTTATTATTAATAATGTATTGTATAACAGGATTTCATAATTAAAAATTTATTTATACAGTCTCTTAAAATTCACTTATATGTACAGTTTAGGTAGGAAAGGGAATTAAATGAATTAGAAACCATGTTCCTGTAATTATAACAGATGTCTCTAAGACATCTCCAGTGAATTTTGAATATGATGCACTTCAAGAGAGTACTGTAATTCTAGACCACATTATTATATGTCTATGACTATGTCATAACAGGTTATGCATGTTCTTAATTTGTTACAGAAATGCTCTTCTTTATTCCAATGAGCATAAATGGGAATTATATGCAAGTTTCAAGAAAATGACCCCAGATAGCCAATTCTTCATTTTCCTCATTTCTGTTTGTCAGGTACAATAAGCAACAGGATATTAAAACAGAATCATGTCATTTCACTAAACTATCACTTATATAGGAACCTGAAAGAAATACATGTTTAGCTACTTACTCAGCACCTAGTTTCCTAATAAAGCATGTGCTTCAGAAATCATATTTTTTCTTTTCTGATAATTACAGTAATTCATAATTATGCTGAGCACCTCCTCGTACTTACAAAAAAAAAATTTAAAGATGTGGTATCAACTTGGAAAGTGATTTTCAACTCAAACAAATTAAAACAAACCATTTTGGGGGAAACACATCTAGGTTGGAGTTATTTTAGCATCTTCTTTTCTTTCAGTAGGCATGGCATTGCTCATTAATCTGTGCTTATATATTCCCATGGAGATGTCTCAATATATTCACTGAATGTACATATATATGTATATACTTATATATATTCAAACAAAGAAAACAAAAGTGAAGTAAAGAGTAGAGGGAACTTTCTGCAATCTAGTCAAAAAAAAAAAAATTCCAAAATAACTGTTTTTGCCCGACTTAGGTAATTTCAGGCAAAAGCAACATTCGTTTAGTTTCTATAGTAAACTAGCACATTTTTCTATTCTCCAAAAAAATTCCTCCAAACACTGAAAACTATTAATCTTTAAAAAATGTTTTTAAGCTGCCTGTAGAAAGGTATTTAACTGTTCCTGTCTTGTCCTGACGACACAGCGCATGTGTGGTTAATGCAGCTGCGTTTCTCTTGAACGCAGCCTTATCCACAAACCACAGAGCATGACAGTGCCCTACACTGCCTAGGAACCCCTTCGGTCTCTCTGCTTTCCAGAAGTTCAAGGACAACTCTACACTCTATGCATAGAACCTGCAGCTCATTTGTGGAGGGGGTGGGGGGGGTAGAAATTGATTCTTAGAACAGGAAGGGAACCTAGGACAGTTCCGATCCAATAGTCTCATTCTCCATAAGAGAAAATGGAGGCCCCAAGAACCAACTTATCCAAGACCACACAGTGAGTTAATGGAACTGTTACGAACTCTAGCTGGTGGTCTGATTTTCTAACTGCACTTCACCGCTTAATTCTGTACTTCGGGGTCCAGCTGGTACACAGTGGTACAGCTGCTCCAATGGCTCAAATATTAAAATACTACCAGACTGGCTCATAAACAGTTGTTACCTTGTACCTCCTTAGTGTTTCCTCTAAGCCCCCAGGCATCCTGGCCCCACTCCAAGCACCCATCCTACCGCACCATGGTCCAGCCCCTAAAACAACATGTGGAGCACCAGGGTCTCTGGGTTCCTGTCCCAGTACGATGGTACCCGGTGTCACTGATTAGGCCCTGTCATATTCGTGTAAAATATTTTGACCATCATCACTTATTCCTTTCAGTCTATGAGCCCTTAAATGGTGCAAAGAGGATGCATTTCAAATGTGAATCAAATGCTTGTCAATTAGAGACCTAAAAATTGCCAGGTCTGATTTTATAATGTGGTCAGAGTACTACAAGATTTTTCTGTGGTCTCTCCACGGTTAGTTAACTTGTTCCTCACTTTCAGAATTCACCGTGCTATAACAGAAAAGGTCGGTTATTCAAAGTATGAAATTTCTTTTCTTTATAACCAATAATAAAACATCATCCTTTTTGCAAACATGAATGGCTCCTTCAATTGAATTCTTACAATAAAACATACACAGCTGGGAAAATGCACTTGCAGAGGTAAGACAGATGAAAAAGGAATGTGGTTATTGATTAAATACAGGTATCAGAATCTGAAAAGGCTAGGATTTTTTTTCTGTAATGATGAAGGCCTGTGATTACAAGTAAAGACAATATTATTCTTTAGGATGGGCTTTTTTGGGAACAGAGTATTCCTATTTAAGGAAGCACATTAGATAAAAAAAAATTTGAAAACATACCACATGTATAGGGAATGGAGAACAGAGATTTCTCTTCCCGCAGCACTATAACAACATAGTTACATTGTCTTTGCTTTGCTCAGTGGATTTTTATAAAACCATTGCTTCTCTAAAAGCCAACAAAATATGGGAAGCAAGGAAGAAACAAAGTTATATTTAACTTGCTAATGAAATCTTCTCATTAGCTAAACTGATAGGCCTACAAAATTAATTATCAATGCTGGACAAAATTAATAAAGCAAAAGTCACTTCATTTTTTTTTCCAAGGAAGTAAGAAAGGGCAGGGGAAATTTACAAACAGGAAACATCACATGAAGGCATAGCAGCAAGTCTTTCAAAAATAAATGTGTAGGTGGAAATGTCTGAAGGACAGAATTCATTATCCACTGCCTCCAAATCCTCCCTCCCTCTACAAAATGAAAGTAAGAGAGAATATGTACACTTAAAAGTAAGGTAGTTTGACTAAGAGTTTTGCCCATGACATGGCGAGTTCACTCAGCCACACAAACTGATGACCTGAGACAAAATTTAAGTACTTGGTTTAATAGTTTGCTAGGTGTTTTCTAAAGAAGAGATCTGAGCCCAAACCTCGAGATTTGCCATATGTAGCCTCATGTGATCTGTGTAGACAGGCAAAGTCAATACAGCATGAGGGTCTAGTGTTTATAATCAACATGGGACTAAAATTGTGTTGTTGGGATCCTCTGTCCAGGTCTACATAGACCCTAACATTACTGGGAAGGAGCCCAAACTGTGGGGTAGGGGGAGGGGCGGAGGAACGAAGACAGAGGAAGGGCCTGCATCATTTTTTGGATCTACAGTTGACTCTTGAACGATGTAAGGGTTAGGGGCCCTGAGCCCCTGCCCAGTCAAAAATCCTCATATAACTTTTGATTTCCCCCAAACCTTAATTACTAATAGCTTACAAGAAGCCTTACCAATAATATCAACAGTCGATTAATACGTATTTTGTATATGGATGACATACTGTATTCTTAAAGTAAGCTAGAGAACAGAAAATGTTACTAAGATAATCATAAGGAAAAGAAAAATACATTTACAGTACAGAGCTGCATTTTTACAGTACGGCACTGTATTTGTTGGGGGAAAAAAAATCCACATAGGAGTGGACGCACACAGTTCAAACCTGTGTTAAGTGCCACGTTCTGATGACATCTTGACATGCTTCACAGACCTGCTTGCGCCCACTATCTCTAAAGCAGTGGTTCTCCATTAGGGGTGGTTTTGCCCCCTCCCCTGAGACATTTGGCAATATCTGGAGACATATTCAGTTGTCACAATGGAAGCGGGGGCAATTCTACTAGCATCTCGTGGGTAGAAGCTAGAAATGCTAGTAAACATTCCACAACACACAGGATACCTCCTGCAACAAAGAAAGAGCTCTGAGAGCCTTCCTATCCGTCTCAGTGAACTATCACCAAACTGACTGTAAAACATGCTGGAAAATAGAATTGCCAGCTAACCCGGAGGATGCCCACTTCCCTTCAAATTTCAGATAAACAACAAATAATGCTTTAGTACAAGCATGTCCCAAATATGGCATGTGACACACTTATACTACAGAAACAACTCCTCACTTATCTGAAATTCAAATTTAGCTGGTTGTCCTATATTTCAATTTGCTAAGTCTAGCAGCCCTAGTTCAAAAGAGCCCACATTTGAGAAGGCGCTCCAGAAGGGATGATCTTCCAGCTCGCTCCCTGTCTCCGACAGAGAAGACTTGTTTATTTCTTCGGTCAGAGGCCAGGACATTCATTGGACCCCATTTTATAATGTGGTATAATTTAGGGCAGGGAGCTTGGCTTAAAGATCAGCTCCAAAGAAAAACACTCATTTACCCTTCTGTCCCAGGCTTACTCTATGACCTTCGGCTAAGCTGACCTCATCTTACTCTCTCTGCTTCACATTTCTGAGAAGGGACCTCAGCCAAGGGCTATCTGGATTCAAGGGGTAGAAAGCAGTAGTCTTTATTTACACCTTGAAAACTAAACCCACATTTTTTGGTTCAGTCTTGGCCAGAAAGACCCTTCTTGTCTGGTGCCCGCACACCTGTAAGGGGATATTTTTTCCCTATCTAGTTATTTTCCTTTCTGTATTGCTTGCTCTGTCAGAACTCTGAGAGGGAAAGGGGTGAGTGAAAATTTCTTGGGTCTGGATTGCAATACCATCTATTAACACATGAATTTCACCATGCACTCTTAGTGTATATTTCAGGGTTGACCAGAGAACCTGAACATTTTCCCTTTAC